CACCGCACGCACAAGCCTCGGCACTCCTGTGTGAGTGTGCACCCACCCCCGGAAAAAAAAAAAGAAAAAAAAATCAGTCCCTCAGCCAGTCAGTCCCAATGCTCAGCACCCTAGGAAGGGAAACAGCTGGAAAAAAAATCTGCTGAAGGTATGAAGTATTCGCTCCTAGCGAGAATTTTCCGTAAACACTGCAGCCTGCACCCTTGCAGCACTGCTGCGACCGGGTAGGGTTGCTCGTGGGTCCTTCTTGCGATTTTTGTTGTTGCTGTTGTTAAACATAGTTATCTGCCTGTCTGACAGCAGCGAGGCATTCTGCTCCTAAAAGCTGCTTGTTGTAGGGGAAAAAATATATGCACAGAGAGAAAAACCTCAAGTGCTGAGCGGTGTTTCAGTAGCTAAACTAAGCCGGGGGAGCAAGGCAGAGGCAGAAGCGTCCGATAGCTCTATCCTCTGTAGTACTTGAAGATTTCCCAGTCAGCTATGAGCATTTCATAAAGTTTGTGCTCGTGTTTTTTCTGTTGCAGACGTCGTTTCCCATCCCTCTGATGCGAACTCGTACCGACGTGGGAGAAAGAAGCGGGTACCTTACACCAAGGTCCAGTTAAAAGAACTCGAAAGGGAATACGCTACAAATAAATTCATAACCAAAGACAAACGAAGAAGGATATCGGCAACTACAAATCTGTCAGAGAGACAGGTCACAATCTGGTTCCAAAACAGAAGGGTCAAAGAGAAAAAAGTTATCAACAAATTGAAGACTACCAGTTAATGGATTAAAATGGAGAAACAGCAACCCACCGGATTCAGGACTTTTTGTTGTTGTTGTTGTTCAGATTAAAATAATTATTAATAATAATTAAAAAGAAAAGACAATGAAACTCTTCTTTCAGAACAAGAGATCTGTATCTTTGGAATTATAGCTTTTTTTTAATATTGCTGTAGCAAATGGTTAAAACTGACAGTTCTCCCGAAATCCAAGGCAGAAAGTCTAACTGACAAACTGCAAAGCCCAAATACCCAGCCCTGAGAGATTCACTTTCAGTTATGACACACAATTTTCTGAGAAACTTGTAAGTACTTCTGTGACCTTACTATTTCAGAACATTCTTCGTGGCCACGATCTGAGAGCTGCTTAAAGTGAGGAGGTCGATGTGTACACATAAGCTTTCTTCTTCCATTGCAATCCAAACTGTCTGGTGAATGACTGCTCAGGTAAACCACAGTGGGAAAAAAAAAGTACAATTACTGTATGTTTTTAAACAATGCATTTTATGTAAAAAAATAATAAACGTCGAAGGTACTGAATAAGGATTTCAGAGACATCAGTAATGAAGGAAGCTCTGTGGAGGATTTATCTTGATAGCAAATTTAAAACATCACAGACTATTGGGGATAGGAATGAAAATATTTACTTGGAGATATCTTTCTTTTGTTTTTGTTTTTATTTTTATTTTCAGTAGATGATTTCTTGTCATCTGAACTGTTTGTTGTTTTCTTTTTTTCTTCTTTTCCTGCAGACCGTACAATAGATACTTTTTAAGCGACTCTGCCTCCTTTAGACCTCAAATGATCTTCAAGAATTAATATTGTAAGTCCCCGGAAAATCTTAATTGTTTGACTCTGGGTGAATCCAAAAACATGAGCATTGGCATTACGTTATAGTAAAAAACCAATATCGTTTCTGGAAAAAAAATCCAAGAACTTCGAACTGAATTACGTTTTTTTCCCAGAAGTATTTTGATTTATATAATCTATATTTTGATCTATAAGTAATTAGTCGTTTCTCCTTGTTTATTGTCTGTTATGAGGCCGCATTAGAACATTTAGGGATTCTTTTTACAGCACCTTTTAATCCAATCAGTTATTTCAACCAGCACATTATTTTGTTTTTATTCACTATAAGAAGCTATCTTGTAAATAAAAAAAGAAAATCAGCGCACTGTGAAAATGTACTTGTGCACCCTCATTTTTTTTATATTTCTACTGAAAAAAATGGAAATCCAAGACGTGTAGATAGGTATAGTAGTATTAATACTGTTAATAAAATAGTCACTGTAACAAAGACTGAAAGAAATACTCTTTATTTTTGGCACCTATGTGCATTTCGTAAAGAAATACAAAGTATCTGCCTTACAATTGTAACACTGCTGTCTTCTATTGTGTAGTTGATATATATATATATGAATCGCTGGGGTGTTATTATTATTTTTTTTTTTTAGTTGTTGCTGTTATTGTTTTCCCGGCAGTGTTAGTGTGGGGAAACAGGCCTGATAATCATCCTTTCCAAGCTGAAAGTGATCTAGTAATGGTAAAGAGCCAGCTATTTTGAAGAGGGGTTGGGAGATAGGGGAAGGGAAAAATAAAAGGAGAAATGATGATATTCATGTAGAGCTGCAGCCCTTGCCGGAAAATGAGAACCAGCCTCGGCGGCCCCTCCAGCGCAGAGCCCGCGGGGCTTGGGCTTTATCGCCGAGCCAGGCGATGCCATCATGGGCACGGCTGGGGGAATCGCTTGTGGTGACAGGGCTGGGAAGGAGGCCTTAAACCTTGACCTTGACGGGGGAAAAGGAAAAAAAAAAAGGTGTGGGGAGGC